ATTCCAAAGTCACATAATTAATGAAAGAAATAACCTAAGAGACATCTTTTAAATAGTATTAATAACTACTATTAGAAAGAGAAGAAAGCAGAATCTAGTACAGATACTCCCATTTGATATTAAGATAAAAATCTAAAATTCTCCAGAATCATTTAAATATAATGCAGCCAGTTCCCACATGGGTAGCAAGCATCATGAAACTTAAATGATAAAGAAAAACTTAGAAATCCTTTATACAAAGAATTTACTTTTCTGCACAAACTATTTTTTTCTTTCACGGTGTCTTATTTCAAGGCAACATAATCCACTCAGCTAAACCGAAATGCTCCCTCATCATAATTTCTCCCTCGCCCTCATCAGCTCGCTGACTATATAATCAGTGAGAAAGTACGATCGATCTGTCTCTCACTTCTGTCCTTTCACTTCCATTTTAACTTGTCCAGTATGGAAGTCAGTTGTCCTCATTTGTTCCCTTGCTAGAGACTCAAAATAGTCTCTCCTTACCCCAATTACATTTTTTGCTTTTTCCAGTGTCATGTATAAGTTATCTTGCTAAATATAAATTAGGTAATGCTAGTGTTTTCAGTATTTCTTTTTTCTTTCTTTCTTTCTTTTTTTTTTTTTTTTTTTTTTTTTTTTCCCGGGGGCACACTGGGCTCTTTGGGGAACTTCGGAGACAGAAAGACAGGACAGAGAAAGTTTTTTTTTTTTTTTTGCCAGAGGTGCACATGAGCTCTTCGGAGACAGAAAGACAGGACAGAGAAAGAGAGGGAGAGGGAGATAGCACCCCCCTTCTGAATGGAGCATGGTCATGCCACAATCTTTCTCTTACATTGCTCTGTCCCAGTGGGATTTGGGGCACACATGCACATACATGTTTTTCTTCCTGCTAGGACTGGGATTCGAACTGCATGGCTGGTCAAGCGGGATCCAGCTTCCCTAACCACTAACTATGACGTGGCCATCCCTATTTTCAGCTTTTAATTATTAACATTGTATCTAAAACTAGGATTGACTTTTCTATTTAATGTCAAAGATAGTTTCGTGGAAGAAAAAGAATTACGCATTAAACTAAAACTCTGTCCTAATAGCTAAACGTTAAAATTATATAATATGCCTTTTTTCACTTCACCATTGGAAACTTGCTTCCCACTTCAGCGACAATACTCTTAACCATAATCAGTGTCACAACATTGTCGTATAGCTTTAAGAAATGACATGCCACTGTCACATGTTTTAAATGATCTCTGGGTAGAATTGCCAATTCTCTCCACCCCATTCTAGTTCCTAAATTACATATATATTATCTTAAGATTAGTGTGACACCTATGAACTGAGTCATAGTCACGAACGCTGTCTTGTGAGGCCATACCCCTTTGACAAAGATTCAATAGAAAGACAGTGAGCATCTCTATGAAGCCATCCCAGTGAGGTAGTGTGCTATTGTGTTTTTCAAGAAAGTGCTATGTACCTCTTTTCTTTTTCATTGTTTCCAGGTGCAAGCTATCACTTTTTTCTGCTCTTTGTCGAAACTGCCCCACTTCTCTGATTTTTTTTTTCTCTTTACTAGAGGGTCATGCACTCTGGATTGGAGAGGCAGAGACAGAGAAACAGAGACAGAGTTAGGGGAGAGTAAGAGAAAGCACCCCTTATGCCATAGGGTATGTCCATTTGCTGGAGAGAGAGAGAGACAGTGAGAAGGAAAGTGAAAAAAATCCACAAGGAAATGACTGTATCTCCATCCCTTGTCCATTCTCCTCCTGGGACTTTTGTCTCACACACACACACACACACACACACACACACGTTCCCAGTGTGATTTTCAAGCTGCCAGGTTTGGGACTTGAGCTGTGGTCGGTCATGTGGGGCTCCAGTACTGTAACCACTACACCACTTACTGGTCTGTACTGACATGTTTTTCAAGCCACAAATGGTCTCACATTGTACCCTTGATCGGGTGAGATCCCGCTATTTTAACCACCATGCTTCTAGCTGGCCCTCTCTTCCTTCTTCTTCTTCTTCTTCTTCTTCTTCTTCTTCTTCTTCTTCTTCTTCTTCTTCTTCTTCTTCTCTTCTTCTTCTTTCTTCTTCTTCTTTTTAATGAGAGAGATTCCTTATAGGCTTCACCAAATGGTGATACCCCTGCCTCAGCTTCTCGGTAGGCCATGGCCTGAGGCACACTGGCCTGCCTAGGTGGGCCTGGAACCTACTGGGGCCTCCCATGCAGCCTCAACCGACACATGGATGAGTCTGCCCCTGTTTTCCACTGGCACCACTGCTTTCGGGGTCTTTCATTGTCAAGATTTAACTAAAATTAACCAAGATCACTTATTTTCATTACTTTGCCCCTTATTTTAACTCACGTGTGTTAAAATGTAACATTCATACACCCCAAACACCAATCTTTCACTCTCTCTCTAATTCAACTTTACTTGGTGTATTTTATTATAACCCCTGTGTTGTCATTTTGTTGTCTTCATAGCCCTGTCATAATGAAGGGTGGTTTTCACACGTGGCCAAAAGAAGTCAGTCGTTGATCGCACATTGCTGAAAAGCCCAAGCCAGCTGTTGCCGATCAATATTATTGCTCTCCAATTGGGGGATTTGATATTCTAGATCAATTAATAGAGGGGCACAGAATGTCGGTGTTTACCTACAAGACGATTTTTTTCTCTTCATTCTTTTATATGAGTCATTTTTGAGTTACTTAATACCCTTTCCCATCACACACACACACACACACACACACACACACACACACAATTCTGAGAGATATGTGTAGCCAGAAAACTTTGAAATTGGCCATTCACTCTATCACTAATTAGGGGGGAAAAAAATAAGAATAAGAGAACTCTCTCACTTTTGAACTAAAATTCAGAGTTTTAGGCTTATGTAATTGGTTCTACCGACACTTTTTTCCTTCCCTTTTTTATGATCAAGAGACTTATAGTGATAAGGGGAGAGAAGGAATAGGAATGGTTCATCGACCCAATATTCACATTAGAAGTTTCCATGTGTAAATTCCCTTGAAAATATCAATGCTTTCTAAGAAGTATTATAAGTTATGATTATGACCTACCTTCTTTTAAATGTGGAATTTCTAGTTTTCATGACAAAGAAGTCAAAATTTGAATTGATTCAAGAGAAAAGAGAACATTTTAGAAATATTTTGAAAAGCCAATAAGTGTCTCTGGGGAAGAGGGTAGGCCTAGCCAAGGATGGACAGCTTAAAGAAGTCCACACAAAGAACCATTAAAATATCCCATCTATTGTGTATGTATTGAATACTACCCAAATTATTTTTATAATAGTCACATACATACAAATGTGATTCTGTCAAATATGCAGTATTCCCAACAAACATTTACTTTTATGGAACTAGATATTCAAGAAGGACATTGGGGTCAAGGGAGGAAAATTAGGATAATATGTCCAAGTACAATCGTACATGTGTATTTTTTAAATCAGGGATAAAGGGCTTTTTGAGAGTTACAAAAGAGAGTGGAGGAAGATGACTAGTGGCTTACTTCAACCTACATCTCGGCCAGATGAGAGTTGCATTTCCTGATAATGTAGAGACATTGATAAAGGGAGAGGAAAGGGTGAAATGAGCTAAGGAGTGGATACTGCTGTCTGCTTTCCTTTTGGGGTTCTGAAATAAGCAGCACTGATTCGATCCAATATTACAGCAGTCTAGAATTTTGAAGTAGGGATTCTTTCCATTTACAGACTGTATTCTACACTTTAAATACCCAAGAGCAGCGGTAAAGTGATGGAAAATAATAGAAATGTAGATCCCTTATTGTGTGTTAACGTGCTACGCGTACATCGGCTCACCGAATTCTCACGAAAATTCTAAAACTGGGTGTACTGAGCCATATTTTACAAAGGATAATGAACATGATTCAGATAGACTAACTTTGTAAAAGTATCTTCCCTGATCTTCCAGAGGACTAAATAAGTTTAAATTTGAAATATACATCATATTGTGTAGTGCTTTTCAAACATTTTGCAATAGGCTTCCTAGTAAGGAAGATATTTCACATTCTGACCTATTTCACAGACGTATCTTGATATCTTGAAAAAAGGTTCACAAAGAACAATTTGCTTTTTTTACATGAAAGGTGCATTCTGGTATTTTTCTACTGTTTTTTTCCTGGGTTTTTTTTTTTTTTTTCTTATTTTAGTTTGCATGTTATCATCTTAATATGAAAAATTGATCTTAAGACCCACTGATGGATTTTAGCTACAAATTTTTTATCACTTCATCATTTTATCTTTTAACTCTTAAATATTTTCTCTGTAAGTCCTTTGGTTCCCAAAACAAACCAAAATTTTCTTGAAGGCAGATATTATCATACATTCTTACATTCCTTCATTGTCAGATCTTCATATATGTCTGTAATCTAACAAATTTAATTTTGCCTCTAAAAATCCACAAACTTGATTAAATGGAAGTGTCCACCACATGATTCCCACAGGAGAGAAATAAAAGGAATAGGAGATAGCGATCTACAGAGGAACCAAGGCAACTTATAATTATAGTTGATAACATTTGATTGAGAACTACCATTCCTGTATAGTTTATTCATTTTTTTTCCACCATAGAGTTGTTTTTTGTTAGATGTTCAAAGCGAGAGAAATATATATTCCTCCCTTTTGTTGCCTTATAAAATGAACCTTGGTTCAGATCTGTGTAGTTTAAACTCTATAAAATCACTTTACTCAAACTGAGCATGATATTATGAAGCACATTACTTCTATTATCTTTTAGCTATTTCAGTACCTAAGATTTTAGAGGGTTAATTCGTATTTGTTTAGCATTATAAAAAGATCTATAATCTAACTCCTATTTCCTTCTGTATAATTTTTCCTTGTTTTTTTCTTATGTTTCCATCAACTTTATGAAATGATGTATTGTTAACATTTTAGATAAGTTTTTTTTTAATTGCTTGAAGGCACTCATATCTTTTGTACAACCTCTATATTAATGTCTGTGGCCCCTCAGTAAATACTATAAGTAAAAAAGAGAAAAAGAGAAAACAGCAGCATGTGGAAAAATATATACTTAGAAGATCCATTGTGGGCATCATGAAAATCATATGCAATTAAATGCACCTCAAAATGATAAATATAGTGAAATCATTTAAGATCTAGCATATGTTGCTCCAAGTGAGACTCGGTTTGGAACAGATGTCCCCATAGACCTGTTATATTAAGACTAAAATTACTAAATCAGCATTAGTTGTTTTTAAACTTAGGGCCATGTTTTGCCACTGATTTTTATTCAAAGCTCCCACAGGCGTCAGTGGAAGATCCATGCATGGAAAATTGGCATAATATGTATCCTAGTTTTATTTATTTCGTATGTATACAGCAGTATAAAATAATATATTACATTTACACTCATTTACGTATGTATTCTTAGAGCATTCACAGTAACAAACACTATAGTTAAGATCAAAACTCATCTTTTGTTATAATACCCTGTTTTCACTCACAGATAACTGTCTCAAAAAGGTGTTTAGAGCTGAAATTCCCTGCTTACTTTCAGCTCAGAAATGTAGGGATGTTTTGAAAGTCTGAGTTCTATCATTCAGAAATTTTTGAGTCTCAGGTGAAAATTTAATATTTCTCGCATCCGTGGATGCAGTATTTTCACACAACTCAAAAACATCTGGAGAGTAAAACTGTAAACTAAGCATGTGACAAGTTTTCAAGAAATAAAAGCCATTTTTCTAACTTTACAAATACTTTAAAAATAACAGTGATTAGAAATACATGCATGCACGCTAAAGATATTAGAATCTTATTCATATTATTGCCTGCAATACTCTGGCGGCACCCATCTACCGGCATTCTGACAGAATACCATGATCTAAAACCTATGCCAAGTTTGTGAAAGAAAAAAAAAATACTCTACTGAACAGTTTCACAAATTACTGTATAAGGATTTTGTTTGACTTAGCAGAGGGATATTCCTTGACATACTAATAATATATAAAATAATCTCACTACTCCATGGTGTAAAAAATATGGAATTTTGTCTTTTCTGTTTTTCCTTGTTAAAAAGGAACATAAAAAGGATGTTAAGTGCAAAGCCTTTACCACTACAAAATTAGAGTTGAAAAAGATAAAGAACCCAAGAAATTGCAATATGAAAAATATAATATTTTTCAGAAAAATTGTCAAGTATATCAATGGTTTAAGTATTTTTGAGTTCCTTGGGGATTAATAGCACACCTAGAAATAGGACAGGGAAAGAAAAACACATGCAATGACAAATAACAGTGCTATGATCAGTCAATAACATAAATGCTTTTCTTTATCCTGCTTAATATTTGCTATTTTCTGGCTTGAGTATTTATATTAGATATTAACTGAATTTCAGCAAATAACTTTGGAAAGCAAAGTGGTATAATTAGTGTACAGTTACTAGAGATTACGTCCAAAATGGTGAGGATATTTTTTTCCTTCTCTTATTAGAGAAGCAAGAAAACTATATTACAGAACATCTGATGGCAAATGGTAACACAATTAGAGATAAAACGTAACAATTAATTAAAATATTTAAATTTTCCACTCTTGCTCTTAATTTGCAATGTTTGATAAAGGCATTGCATTTAAAATCTTCATAAAATAAAAGATACATATGTCCTTCATATTTCTCAAGAAAAGATGATGCACTTATATTATTGACATCACTATATCTGCAAAGTAATTCTGATGTGATATTTAAATATTTGATTCCAAATGAAGTCACAAAATTTTTTCACAAGTTAAAAATCAGAACTTTACGTGTAGATGAAATATTTCTAAAAATTGTCTTTTGACATACCTTTGATACATTAAGACACCATTTCCACAGGAAAATTTTTTGACTTTTACTGTTCTAAAACTAACCATATTAACAAGGAGTAAATGGCATGATTATTCTTTTCTGAAATAGTTTGTTGGTATATACTCTCTAATAAGCTTGATATTATTTTCCATTGATGTGTATAAAAACTATGGAAGATTGACTATTAGGATGACCAGATTAATAGAAAGTTATTCTAAAATTGCTCAACATACTAATCTAGTAAACATTTACTTGAAGACCTTCATTATCAATTGTTTTCACTTTCCGTCTTAGAGTACCCCTCATTGGTAAATGGCATTTTAGCCAAGTTGCTAGAATCATATTCTTATGTTGTTGTAACTTTTTATTTATTCTGGATTCAATAGGAAGTTGATTAATGACCTAATCATTTAACACTCTATGTTTAAATCATTTTATTTGTCCCACAAATTAGGTAAAAGTTTTCTTGTTTTGGTTTTTGTAGATTGCTGTTATAACTTAAGAACTAAAATGCACAGTAATACAAATGTTTACTATGAGATATTAAAAAATAGCTAACACATACATAGATGGCATAAAAAGTCGATTCAAATAAAATTATATGCAATGATAGAAAGAGTTAAATAAAGAAAATTTCTTTAAATCAAGTTAATTAATGTAGCTATTTTATAGAAAGTGAATATAGCCTTATTTTCAATGCTCATAATATGGAAGGTGGATATGGATTTTCTCCCAGTATTGTAAAATGATGCATGAAAAGTTTTAATTAAAGCAGAGCAATTCAAGAAGAAAATCATGTTCTTGCTTATAATGCAATTAGAACAAACATTTTTTTCTAGCTAAATTATATACAAACAATTTCTTACTAAAATGATCTACCGTTCAAAATATTAATGTAAAGCCAAAGTTTGAGGAATGTTACTGCTACACTTAGTCAATGTATGTGCTTTTTGTATTATTTATGATCAATTAACTTCCTATATTTTTAAAGGGCCCCCCAAGACCAGAACATTACAGACATTACTTTGATATAGAAACTGATTAAGATTATTACATATTAGTATCTAATTTGATAACAAATGAGTGATACCAAAACATCACTCGAAATGGACACATCAAGGATCTATTAATATACATGTTCATGTTAATATTAAATCTAAGGGAAAAATTCTACTTATTCCAGAAAATTAGATGGAGAGAATTTGTTCAATTTTAGTCTGTTCTTTAATAACACAGTGCAGCTCAAACTATCATTGAACATAGTATCAGTTAAAAATTATTTCAAAATAGGTTTATAATTTGTACTGGCAGACTTTTGATATAATGTTGGGGACTTTTGTGGAGGGGAACTGTAATGCTGTTTTATGCTTGGCAGATTACCTCACATTCTCTGATTTTTATGTTTCTTAATTGTGTTTCAACAAGCAAGAAACAACAGTAGAAAAAATATGTAAAAAAAAGAAAATGCATCTACTGAATTTAATAATTAACCTTGTTGACATGAAAGTAAAAGACTTTTCAACTGACCCGTGAAAAATTTTCTCAACAAAACACTGACTACATTTAAGCTATAAATTTTTCACACATAATACTGAAATAATAATATACCATGTTTCTATCTCCAAATTTATTTAATTTGTTTTAAATTTAGAGATCCTTTATATCTGATAGTTATTCTTTACCAGTTCAGATATTTATATGTCTCTATATATTTATATAGAGTTATAAATAGCTTTCAGACTCACGTGTAATTAATGTCACAAAACTATGTAAAACTATGTAAAATAAAATTCTGCATGACTTATATGATTGAGGACTTCTTAAAATAGTAATCTTCAATTACATAATTTACACCACAAAATGTACAGACACCCAGTTTTTCTTCTAACAACAAATACAGATGAATTTATAGAGTCTTTATAAAAGCTTTAAGTGATTCTAAATTCAAAGCCATAGAAATAGAATCAGAATAATATCAGAATAATGTAGATTGTTAGATATTTTGATTGTACATAATCAGTGCTCTGTCTGATAACATTAACAGCTACATCTTTGGCATTGAAAATTCAGTAGGAGTTCTTGACGAAATTTTGTAGCTCAGAGCTTCATTTTCTTTTAAACAAGGAAAAACAGGGTTGAATGTAAGATATGAAAACTGGGAGGAAACTGCTAATAATTTTTTTTTTCTTAGTAAGTTTATCTTTGGGACCCTGAATTACCTTTTACTTTATTGTATGATGTGGACCGTATGAATCCATTTAAAAACCAACTTAGTTGTACCACATTTTAGGAAAATTATATAATATAATATATATATTTTATATTTATTTAGAAGCTTTGAAATAGTACAGTAAACACTTTGCAACACGGTGTATAAACTACAGAATGTCTTTGATATTTTGTGGGTCTTCAGAATACAACATTTTTTTTTTTGTTTTTATAACCCACAGGTGAAAAGAACATAATCACAATCTCTCTTGTAAAGTTGGAATAGTTTGGGGAACACTTGATCACACAAAAATAATATAAAACAGTCAAGTTTAAAACAGTGATATTGCATTTATAATGCACAAATTTCCTTTATCTTTATGACTGGCTTCTTGTGGTGAATATAAACATCTAAAGGGCTCAGTGACATTTGGAGAGAGAAGATACATAGTGCTGTAAACAGGCACACACTGATCGGAGAGGCAAAATCAGTTGCCTCTGAAGTTTCTACAGTTCTGCACATTTCAACTCATTTCTCAGGCCTGCTGAGAGCAATTAGGTCCTATAATTGGCCACGATGACTCCGCCGGAAATCTAATACTCAGTTACACACAACTAACTGGATGGCCAAGATAATGAAGTTGAAAAGTTGATGCTTTGTGTTGGTCGACTTTGTGCAAATCATGCTGCTTCAGGTAAATCCTGTAGAATTGACTAGCATATCCTTTTCCGTGCTGTGAAAAAGAAAGAAAAATACTCTAAGCAAAAGAGGTTGACTGTGGGAGTTTAGAATTGTACATCATTATAAAAAGAAATGAATACAACTGGAAATAGTGGTACCTCATACCAGACCCATAGAGTGTTAAAACATTCCACTGCTACTGTGATTTTTATTAGATACATTTATTCTTTGGTTTGCTTTTCGGTAAATGACAATTTGGGCATTTTTATACATCAGTTTTGTACGGGAAATGTGTCTTTTATAAACCTACCACCAATTATGCAGAGAGGAACTCTTTACAGTGATCTATAAAGCAACGCCTATTTCACGATTTATGCATGATCAGAACGCAAGGGAAAAACACGTGGCTCTTACATTTCTAAAACAGATCTTTAGAAGAATCTCCAAAGAACCTGTTACATATTGAAGTCAATAAACTCTAAATTACAGACATCAAACTGCTATGTATTAGGGAAAAAAAAAAAAAAAAAACTGCACCAGAAAGTGTTTGTGTTGTTTAAAAAATGTAAAGGTGACTCACATTTCTAGGTTTATTTGATCTCATATGTTAAATGACGTAAAGAGCATGTCGGTACAGCTTACAGTATCTTTTTACAGTTTATTTCTCTCATGATGAAATCAGAGAAAGGAAAACAAGCACCAAGATCCCACACAGTGCCCACCTCCTTTTCTGCTCTTCCAGCCAGCTAGGACTGCACACACCTGGCGTGTGCCAGTGACCCCAGAACGTAACCTGATCTTCCATATGACTGAGCATTGCAGAGCACTGGGTTACCCTGAGTCACTGCAGTGGACCCACAAATATTTTGCTTTTTGGAGTAAATGTATTTCCTAAAAGGAATTTGCTTTGGCGTACAGAGGTTAAAGGTGAAGGGGAGAAAAAAGATATTACCAAATTTGTCCCTCTTACATAAAACATACTAAATTATGAAACAGGATGTCCAGATTCAATTATTCAGATTTTACCATTTTAAGTATTTTATGTATTTATAGTGATACAGAATATTTTTTCAAGGCTATCCAGAATCTCCTTAATATTTGACAATGAGCACAAGAGCAGAAGGTATACCCCCGAGATCATTATGTGGCACATAACAGATGCGTAACTAAAACGTGCTGAAAATCTAGACCATTCACGTGAGATAAAATCACATCCATGGACATCTCATCACAAATTAAGAGCTACGTTAAAGGTCATAACTAAATAATTATTCTGGCAGTTTATGGCTTTTTCTAATAAAATTAAGGACATGTTGATAAATTCAACCCTTCTCCTCTGCTATTCGCACTCTTTTCAAAAGAATTAGTTATCTGATTTTTTCTCGTTTATTTTTTTCTCAAAAACTCAGTTTCTGACCTATGAAATATTTCTTCACTGGCTCACCATTGACTAGGTACTGTAGTTATTATTATAGAGTTGGATACTCTCATGCCAGAAATTAAAAGTGACATGAATCTTTATATGGATTAGTTATCTGTTTTTTTCTCGTTTATTTTCCCTCCTTCTCTCATTTATTTTTTTTTCTCAAAAACTCAGTTTCTGACCTATGAAATATTTCTTCACTGGCTCACCATTGACTAGGTACTGTAGTTATTATTATAGAGTTGGATACTCTCATGCCAGAAATTAAAAGTGACATGAATCTTTATATGGATTGTGTAGTAACCAGGGTTAAAAGTAATCAGAATGTATCTTGTCTGTTTTAATATAATGAATTATATTATGACTTACCTACACTATTAGACTACATGGTAGCTATTATCACTTACCTGGTTAATAATATTACAGCGAATATACTATAAGGACATAGAAACTCTTCTTTCAATAGAATTTTATCTTATTTTCCTATGTGCTTGAATTCAATTCTCTGCTTCATGATAAAGCTGAGTATAAATAATTCAAATACAGTTTAAAATTTTATTTATACCAATCTGAATGAAAGACTATTCAGTAAATTGTAATAGTGCAACCAGAGAAATTTAAGTTTATCAAGTAAACTGGGGTAAATAATTACAGTGACCAAAGAACTGACTGTCCAAATTAGACACTGTGTTGCATGTGAGGAAGAACTATTAATAATTACCTAAGATCTTGTGCTATCCTGGAAAACCTAGGAAATACGGTCACGTTACAAATATTGTTACATATTTTTTTTCTTTTTTTTTAGAGAGGTTTTTGCTATAGGGTGCATGCGCTCGCCACATATTTTCAAAATAAATTGGAGTTATTACTTACAGGTTAAAGTTTTTTCTTTAAAAAAATCAGAAATGCTGATTTGTAGGAAACATTTTAATGGTTCCATGACAAAAGAAACTCAAGAGAAACCTATATTCAAACTATAAAGTAATTTATTATGTAAAAACGTATATTGAAAAGCTACATCTTGGAATAAATGCGGAAATTAGTCAACCTAGCACATGTTTAAGTCAGTAAAAGATCATGTCTAATTAGGTTCAAATATTACTTAAGGGAAAAGCTATTAGCATAAATATATGCTCATTTGATTTAGTCAGGATCCAAAAATTAATTGTTTTGTTCAAATGGTTCACAAGGCCCAGCTGCTATAGCACAGCGGCCATGCAAGTCCCCTGCAAGGCTGGAAGTCATATAGCCCACTGCGCGTTCCTATCCCTGGGTCGGCCTGCAAACACGCTGGGTGTGTATAAAGGCAACTGGGACTCTGAGCAGCTACAGGACTGGGGAGTGGGGATCATAGGCTCTTGGACCTGTTGAGGATCTTTCTCATCATGTGTACACACACTTTATCATAAAAATAAATCAAGTGGCTGGGAACCAGCAGTTAGCATAATGGCTATGTCGCTGGATCTCACGTAGTAGACCGTGGTTCGCGTCTCGGACCCGGTGGCTTAAATCTCACGCCGGGCGCGTGTGCGTGCATGCCCAAGATCCCGAGAGGAGAATGGAGGAGAAGGGATTGTGGCGTGACCATCCCCCCTGGGGGGTGATTTCTCGCTTTCTGTCTCTATGCCTCTCTCTGTCTGTCTGGCGAGCGCACGCGCCCTATAGCGAAAACCTCTCCAAAAAAAAAAAAGAAAAAAAGAAAAAAAAAAATCAAGTGGCTCAGTTACTGAAACTCAGAAGTTTAGCATACACCATACTAAACAGAGAAGTTTAGCACACATCATACTAACCATCTTAAATAGAAACGTAAGTCTAAAAGCACAGTTTAACTGTTGAGGAGTGTTACGTGTGTGTTGGTTTTATTTACCGTCCACCGACCTCCTCCCACCTCTCTGTTAATCCAGGCATGCAAATCTCAACAGGACAAATATAAAATCTGAGGTTGAAGATCAGAACAAATCAGACCAGGAAGGAAAGATTGCTTCCCCATCGGAAGTTAATCTCCCACGAGTGACACATGGCCGAACAAGAATCAGTTAATACGACAAGGGGTCTTCAACAAGTTTGTGGAAAATGGAGATTATAAAAAAAACTTGCATGGATTTCAATGATTTTTTGGGTGCCATAATAAATTTTTATTTTAATTTTATTTCTCCACAAATGTTTTAAAGTCCCCTTTATCACTAAAGTTATAGTCACATCCGTTTATTTCCAAATTTTTAAGAGGTGAATTTGGACACTGAATAATAGTTAACTTTCAGGGATGTATGGGTCTATGTTGGGCACATAGCAAATAAATCATATATATAATATAGTGCTATGACTACATTTCATAATCAATGCCAGCGACAGTTATTCCACCGTGTTAAATATCATGGCTATACATTTGCTGATGTATTTCAGGCTACAGAAAATGGGTCAAATACATTGAATCTACGGTTTTTGAGGTATTTTTTGGTCTGTTTTGAAATGATCACAGTTTACTTGGGTAATAGCTGCATTTTATTTTCATGTCACAGATGCATTTTTTTCTAGTTATGAATCAGCATATTCGGGAATTGGTCATTTTAATGTGGATGAAGGATTTTTAAGTCATACAGAAGTAACAGAAAAGGGATTATGTGTGTTCCTTATTTCTGTTCTATTCGTTCACTGCGTTTGTTCTTTTTAGTCACATACGTGTTGGATTTAGTGTTAAACACTTAATGTCTGAGCTACCAACATGAAAGTATTCAACGGACATGAGCTAATCAAATATCTACCGTCTTCTAATTTAGAATATATACCATTTGAAATGAATGTTTCATGGTGTACCTTTTTCCTTTACATTGTAGAATACTGTTGTCTTAATAAGGTGCAAAGTATTATATTAAACCATCGAAAAAACATTTAAACAAACTAAAACTTTAGGATATTAAACTGATTAAGTAATGACTGAAGAAGAATGACTGTAACATGTATAAGATGCAAAAGTAATTATTAAAATTTTAGCCCTAATATATTATAGTGTCATTGCCTGTTGAAAATTATTTTATATAACGCATTAAAATGACAATGCAAACATTTGAATATTCATAATCCCATACTTGCATTGCAGGAAACAAAATACCCTTTATACTTTATGACAGTATAAACCACAGGACTTCAAGCCATAAATTAACCTTGTGAAGTAATCTAATCTATTTTCACAACAGAAAGAAAAAGCAGCTTTCACACATCTCAAATGACAGAGACTATTCACTACAGTGAAAATTTTCCAGAGGCTGAGATCTGGGGGCTTAGTCAAATGTTTAATGAACCTCAACTCCAGGACACTTGTTTATATATGAAGTGAATGTAGCATACAGGAACAGGAGTCCAATATTCCTCTAAAAGTCTGGGAAACCTGCTCTCTGTTTAGCATAAAAGCCAATCATAAACTTAGAGACAGTTTGGAAATAAGCTTTCATTAGAGATTTGTTGAGTATAATAAATAAATACATGAATAAAGTAGTTCATTTCACATTCCTCTGTCTTATTCTTAAACCACTTCTGAGGATTCCCTTTTACAATATTTCGGAAGTTTTCTGTTTGTTTAGCCCTATGTCCAAAGTGAACACAGTAGTTTTAAATATTTAAAGAAGATAATT